TTGATGGAAACCTTGTTCTACAGCGCATGACCGTATTTCTCTCTTCTCCCATTAAAGGCTAAGAAAGCCTACCACTGAACAGAATAGCTTGGAAATCAACCTCAAATCACTGATTCCAATATCAATCCTAATATTTTATAATCCTTCTTCCCCCTACATTTTGCTCCTCTTTAGTCAAATTCAGGTTCAATCTAAATCAATCCGGGGATATTTCTAAAGGGTAAGGCCCATAAGCTCCAGCTTTTCTTGGGTTTTGTTGAGCTTTATTGTCTTGGACCCTGTACTCTGTAGGTGCCGTGTCTGGAAAATGCATCACTGCAGCTTGTGGAGGGAAGGGAGGATGGAAGAGATGCTCATGCGAGAAATCACCTCTTTTGAAATTCAGAGTCCTTCCTAGTCTTCCCAGGAAAAACTACAGCATCAAAAGAACCTTATTATCCTTTTCTCTCTTTTGGTGTGGGACAACCCTTCCAGGCGTGTCCAAGTTATTGAAATGAAAACTGCAGGGAACCTCCTTGAGAAAGGTGATCATTTCCTATTTATCCTCATACTTCCAGCATCTCGTTCAATTCAAATCACAGATCACAAATGTTTATTAAATGGACAATTTTTTTAAGGGACTCAATAAACAGTGGAAAACGTTTGTTGAGAGAATTCTCCTCTGTGCCAAATAAGAAACAATCCTCGAGAACTGGCAGCAAACAACATCCAGAAAGATGTTAGTCCCAAGAGGCTGCCACTGTCTCCAAGCTAATGTGCCCACAACCACACTAGTCTTTGCTGACACGGCCTGGAAGCCCTGGCAATCCCGTCAAATCCCTGAACTCCACCCCCAAGCACTTTCTTTCCACCTTTTCTTCCAACTCAAAGCCTCTTGCCCAATGCCAATTTATGACACAGGTTTCTAAGCAATGTCCAGATATTCCATGAAGTACATAACCTAGAAACAGAAGTGGCAAAAAGCATGCCAGATGCCCTCTCCTTTCAGCCCTTTCTTGGGAAGCAGGATCTAGGCAGGGCCAAGCCCTCAAGCGTCCCACCCTGCGGCTCCCACTGGCGTCCGATCCAGACTCCAAGCCTTAGCTCGGTCTCTTCAAAATGCCGAAGGCGGTGGGCGAAACAGAAAGCACCTTCGCATCGCTACACTCGGGGGTCACCCAACCCAGCATAGACCCAGCGGCCACTCGCCAGCTCCGGGAGGATGCGCGAACACCGAACGGGAGCGTCCGCTCCTCTCC